TAAGATTCTGAAATGAAACACTTCTATTTCTTGATAGTCTGAATAAATGATATTCATATTGGACAAGTGGTATTGTATTTGGCAGAAGAATTTGATGAAATGACCCCAAACTATCCCATTACAAATAATAATAATAATAATAATAATAATAATAGGTAATTTATTTTTTGTAGGCCAAACAGCACACTAAAGCATTTCATTGTCTTCTGTCATCATTCAACAACTCTTTATAAGAAAAACTCTCATTTCCTTTTCACAGTGAGGACTATAGAAGTTCAGTTACCTCCTAGTCACAGGACCAGCAAATGTGGCAAAGATTGAGATTCAGTGGAGACTTGTCACTCCAAAGCACCTGATCTAGACCATTATGTGATTTTGCAAAATTAGGCCTGTTGTGATATTCTGAACTTTCTCTTCTGTAACTTGTCTTTACATGGGCAATTTGACTACTCAATAGCAGCTCACAATTTGTATTATTATTCATGCATGATGAGCACAATGTTTCTGCTTCTAATCATGGCACTGGATTACTCCTCTCTCCCCAGAAGATATCATGGAAGTCATACTGTATATGAATTTACTAAATACTCAAGAAATGAATCTTAGTGCAATTCTAAAGAATGACAAGTCATTTTAATCCCATTCCTCTCAATTTTCTTTATGTGGTGCTATCAAATTTGCCATCAATACTGAAGCTGGTTAAAAGAACTGCAGCAGCTTTACTGAATAACATTTTTTACTTGTGTAGCTGCCTTGACACTTAGGTTGCAAAATGTGCAGAAATACCCACCAGTTAGGACCCTCTGATGGGCAATTTCAGTGCTTTGGAGGCTGCAATGTATATTTTTGAAGTAAAAAACAGCAGTCCTTTCAAAAGGAACTGTTAAAGAGAGCATCTCATCATTATTAATTTCCATTCTGGCAGAGCTCATCAAGTCTCCTATCAAGGAAAAAGAAGTTGGTTCTTAATAAAATCCAGATGTTTATCCTTCTACACACATGAACCCCAACATACTAAGAAGTTATTTTGAATATATGCTTATTAAGATTTAACTGTATGATTACTATTATCAGTTGCCTTTGAAATTAAGGAAATAGTAAATATCTGTTTCTGCTTATAATGTTCACTCTCTTAATTGATTGGCCTACAAAATTAAAAATTATATTGTCACAAATAGCAGTTGAGAAATATTGCTTTTTTTTTATAACCTTTCCATTTCATTAGGAATTTTGCCCAGGCTTCACCTATATTGAAAACATGAATCACTCCACAATGTTCTGAGTCATCTCAGATCTCAGTGTCCTTAGGTTATCCCATATGGTGATGTCACTGGATATTATTCTTTCACAAAACAAAATGGAGGCATTTTCCCATTTATTATTATTCCATAAATGTGTAAAATAGTACAAATTAAACAGACCTCATTCCCAAATAATAATTAGTGATTCATATTTTATTTCTTTTTTGTTTTGTTTGTTTTACCAGTGGTATTTCCAATACAGCATTAACCGATGTAAATTTTAGACTGATATCTTCTCCATGTTGGGTCATTGATCAGAGGGCTGGAAGAACAATTTTTCATGTAAAAGGTTGTGCAAAGGATGTACCATAAGGCCCTTGTATTGCCTGCTCTATGCCCCTGTTTAATCACAAGGCAATCCCCATATTTGGTTATTTGGGGGAAAGAAAGCCTCTTGTATTCCTGTACTTTCAGCATGTTTAAATTCAGCATGTCGTCATCTCTGTCACAAAACTAACATTTGTATCAATGACCTGATTGCTTGTGCCTCCGTGTATTGGGTCATGCAGATAACATATAGAGACCTGAGA